CTGCTGGCCTGTGGGAATGTATCCTGAGTGTGTCAGAACTTCTAGTTACCTGGATGTCTGTTGAAATTCCCCAAATTTCAATATGTTGATTCAAAGTTTTTTTAAAACACTGAACAGACCAAACTAAATATAGCTGCATATTGAATACCATCTCTGAGCCACCAGTTTGCAACCTGTGCTACCAATTTGCAACCTACCCCTAATGGAGTGTATGAGAGAATGTGTTTTTCTGTCTGAGCCCTTGTTCACAAGAGATAAAGAGCCAAGAACAGAGAATGGTGTAATATACTATTTAAAAGATGCTATTCTGGTTAAGTAAACCAGAGTATTATAGTCTGGTGTCATTCTCCTGAAGGAACACTTTCTTCTTACCAGGCTTCTTATCAGTTGGGACTAAAGTCCAAAGACCACAGACAAGTACAAAGCGCTCCACGTTTTAAGAGAGTGAAAGTTGGCCGGGCTCGGTGGCTCAGCCTGTAATCCCAGCACTTTGGGAGGCCGAGGTGAGTGGGTTGCCTGAGACTGCGAATTCGAGACCTGCCCGGGCAACTTGGCGAGACCTCATCTCTACAATAAATCAAAAATTAGCTGGGTGTGGTAGCACACCCCTGTAGTTCCGGGTATTTGGAAGGCTGAGGTGGAAGGATTGCCAAGCCCAGCAGGTGGAGGCTGTGGTGGCCGGGAGCCTGCCAATGCACTCCAGTCTGGATGACAAAGTGAGACTTCAACTCAAAAAAAAAAGAAGAAGAAAAAGAGAGAGAGTTAAAGTTGAGCTATAAACTCAGAGTTCTAACAGCTATATCCCTGGGCAATTTTAAGTTAACTCTGCATTGTAATTTACTTATATTATTTGTTTCTGAGTCACAACATATCTTCATCAAAATTCTAGATATTGATCTATCAACATGTAGGATTTAGAATTTTTTAAGAAAAATCTGAAACAAACCTTATATTTTATTTCCTTCTTAGATTTTTCTATGCAGAAGCCTCTATATTTTTTAGGTCTTTTTTTTTTTTTTAAGAAATCATCAGAATGTATTTGGGTTTATATTTTTTTCATTCAGTCTGCCTAATTTTAGCTTTTTCCTTACATTTTCTTCCACTTTCTGTATTATTGCTATTCTAATATCTATTTTATTTTCATTCTTTCTCTTTTGCAAGCCACAGTATATGTAAGAATCTGTTGGATCTAACATCAAATCTCTTTCTTTTTCTTCTCTAATTGCAATTCTTTCTTTTTCACTTTTTCTCTGAATTAAATCTCAGTATATATTTTCTAGTTTTTATATTTTTCTATTACATTTAATTAGCTATTCAGAGCCCTTTACTCTAATGTTTAAGTTAGCAAATACATCTCAAAACATTTGTCTGTTCATTTCATGATATTAAGTCATATTCCCTTTACAGAATCAGGGTTCTTTTAAAATCTTAATTAAAACATAAGTGAAGTGTTTTCTAATATTTTCTGTTTCTTGTAATGGTTTTGTTGCACAGATGGACATCAGATCTCTCTCTTCATAATTTTGAGTTGCTGCATTCTCACATATCTGCTTTTTTTTTTTTCCTATTTGGTAAACTTTGAAGTAGGAGATGAGAGAGTTTTAGCCATATTTAAAGTTGTTATAGGTCCTGACAGATATTGGAAGTGTTAAATCTTATAAGACTTGGTGAAGGGAGATGGGGGAAATTTTATATTTACTCTATTTCTGTGTTGCCAGGTTAGAAACAACTTGAGAAGGAAGTCTGACAGCTGAGCATAATATTTCTCTTGCTTGGTGTTGAGGCAGCTTTATATTAATGGGATAACATCTTCATCATCCATTTGGGATGACTGTCCTCTGCAATAGGACTCCCAATTTATTTAATGAGTTGCTGCTCAAAGTAGAAGCCACGTGTGTTTCCATGGGACACTGTGCCTGCTAGACTCCAGAATCTGACAGACTTCCCACAATCTGTAAATCATCCTGTCTATAGTCCCCCAGACCCTCCCCTCACTTCCAAGTTTTAACATATCAGGTTAGTGTATTTATAACAGAGTTCTACCATAATGCCCTTCCAATAACCCACCAAACAGACTTTTTCTGTGCATTCTATGAATTTTGGGTTGTGACACCATCTGAGTAGCAATTTACTTTAAAATATCATATTAGTAGTAATGTAGCATGGGTGAACATAAGTTAACTCTACTTACAAACTAGGAGGTGGCTAGCTATCATGTGAAGGCCTATAATCACAATCCATACTCCAAGGTAGTTATTTAAAATACAAAATTTTAATCAGTAATCAAGACATTGGAGATGGCTTACTACTTACCATTCTTGAAAACTACAACAGCAAATCTGTTCATTAGTATTAGAAATAGCACACAAATTTTTGATTGATTAGAAATATTTTGTAAGTTCTACCATGTCACAAATAAAGGCTTGAATTACAAGCCTAGAAGCCTAACACCACGTGCAGTGTTCCAAGCACCGTGAAAGTGCTAGGGCGACTGCAGTGAAGAAGATGGACTCAGATTTTGCCGTCTTTACTTCTTAGAGTCCAGTAGGTGAAGCAAACAAGAGTATTATCATGTACTAAGTGCTCTCAAGAATACTGAGAACTGGCCAGGCTCGGTGGCTCAGCCTGTAAATGGATTGCCTGAGCCTGCGGGTTCAAGACCCACCTGGGCAACTTGGCGAGACCTCATCTCTACAATAAATCAAAAAATTAGCCGGGTGTGGTAGCGCGCACCTGTAGTTCCAGCTACTTGGAAGGCTGAGGCAGAAGGATCGCTGGAGCCCAGCAGGTTGAGGCTGCAGTGGCCAGGAGCAGCCACTGCACTCCAGGCTGGGCGACAGAGTGAGACTCCAACTCAAAAAAAAAAAAAAAGAATGCTGAGAACTTATGTTCAAGATGACAGGTATCATGCTATTAAAATTGCAAGCATTTTCTCGCTCACTTCTCACAACTATGCTATGTGGCATTTACTATAATCACTCCTATTTATAGTTGAAGAAGTGGACATTAAAGAGGTTAAGTAGCTTAATCAAGGACAGTGAACTAGTGAATGCGAGATCCAAGAACCAAACACAGAATTAATTTTGAACACTTTGTTCTTATCCATTACTCTTTACTAAAAAATTCTCAATTGTTCCGTTGTCAAATAAATCATATAATTGCACACTTGAATAAATAAATCATATGCTTTTATGCCTGGATATTATACATGCTAAATATACATTATTAAAATATATATTTTGACATGTAAGAATATCTATCTCTTTTTTTTTTGAGTAGGAGTTCACTCTGTTGCCCAGGCTGGAGAGCAGTTGCTTGCTCACAGCCACCATAACCTCGACCTGCTGGGCTCAGGTGATCCCGCCATCTCAACCTTCCAAGTAGCTGGAACTACAGCGCCACCATGCTAATTTTTCGATTTATTGTAGAGACGAGGTCTCGCCAAATTGCCCAGGCTGGGAAAAGATATCTTTCATAGTGTTAGCTTAATCTAGAGTGTAGAAATGACAAAACATGTACAATATAATCCTGTTTCTGTAAGTGAACCAGTCAGTATCTATCTATCTTCTATTTTTTAATTTACCTACTCATCTTAACAGAATACACTCTGAGATGCTAATGATAACTTTAGCTAAATGTGCAAACATCATTTTTTTTATTTTCTCCATTTTTTGTTAATATATTCTAGCCATATTTTGTAATGAGCACATGCACCTTTTATAGCAGGGAAAACAGTATAAAAGGAAAACTTCAAATTTAATATGCAATAAAAACTCCTTTAAAATAAGACTTGAGCATAGCTTGTCCCACCACACTCTTGCACCCTGCAGTGTGTTATGCTTAAGAATCACTGAATGATCACGATAAGATCTGGAAGGTGAGCAGAAAGGGCCAGAGAGAAACCCATGACAAAGGGGATTGGGCAGAACTGACAGTGAATGAAGGGAATAGAACACAAAGAATCTACTCACTAATATGCGGTGACTTCAATTGGGATTCTTTTCTAATTTACACTCCCACCAATAGTATAGAAGTGCTCCCTTTTCTCCAAAACTATACCATCATCTATTGTTTTTATTGTCATTATTTCAACATAATTTCAGACTTGCAGAAATGTCATGAGGAAAGTACAAATAACTTCTACCTATCTTTTATCCAGACTTACAACTTGCTAACATTTTACCATACTTCTCACTGCATTTTAAGGGGATTTAAACACAGAAGAAGAAAGGTGAGTCTCTGTGGGACATTTTGTTACCCAAATTCTCCTACAAATATTTATCTTTATAAGGACTTCCTTGGCAGAAAGCCTCTTCTTGCTGTAAGACTAGAAACTCCCTTCCCCTCTTTGCCCCGCCTGCCCCTTTACCAAGAACACTGAACAGGAAGAAGTGTTTCTCGGGGATGCTGCTAAGACAGAGACTCTGTGAAAAAAAAGACCATTGACTGAGCAGAAGGAGCGTATTCTCAGGAGACGAGGCCCCTGCCAGCTACACTCAGCACAGACCGCCGGGAAGACACCCTTCTGCAAGCCAGCCCAGTCTTCTAGGGAGAAAACAGGTGAATCTGTCTGTCTGTCTGTCCTCTACACATATACTGTTACCGCTCTCCCACTGCCAAGATATTCAGGGATGCCTGCTCTGTCTCTTACTCCTAACATTTTGAAGACTGAGTCTTCTGACAACTGAAGTCAGTATGGCCAAAACTACAAACTAAGGCAACACAGGTCTTTTCAGAGCTAAGCGTTCTTGAAATACAGGAGAGACTTTACTTATTAGACAGAGTTTAGAAGATCACAAATGGAACCAAGACAGAGACCTAGGGTAAGAGCTGAGTGAAGGAGAGGCAGCATGCCAAGTTCAAAGGCTCCAGTCAGCACAGAGTCCTATCTGTGTTGTAGGCCTGTGCTGGGTCTCCCCCTTGTACCTATCAATGGCATGCCTGTCTCACACGCCACTTTTGCTCAGCATACTCTGGCAAGAGGCTGGGATGTGTCCTGGTGAAAAGTAGGCTTGCCCTTAGATTCTGATACTGTTATGCTCTAATCCCCACAGGCTTCTGATCTCTTTCATCATGAACTGGCACATGATCATCTCTGGGCTTATTGTGGTGGTGCTTAAAGTTGTCGGAATGACATTATTTCTGCTGTATTGTGAGTATTTAGAGCTTCTTACACTGAGTCCATATTGCCTTCCTCTTTAAAAAAAATATGTAGGTATCTTTGGGGGATACAAATATTTTTGATTTGGGCTTTAAGAGTACCCACCACCCCTGCCTGTGTATGTTGTACCCAATGAGTGATTTTTTCTCTCCTCCCATTACTGCTCCCCCTTCTGAGTCTCCAGTGTTCATTATACCATTCTCCATGTCGTTGCATATCCTTGGTTTAGCTTCCACTTATAAGTGAGAACGTGTGATGTTAGATTTTCTGTTCCTGAGTTTGTTTAGGATGATGCTCTACAATTCCACCCAAGTTCCTGCAAAGTACATTGTTTCATTCTTTTTGATAGCTGAATTATATTCCATAGTGTGTATATAACATATTTTCTTTATCCACTCTTCAGTTGATGGGCATTTATGTTGATTCCACATCTTTGCAATTGTGAATTGTGCTATGATGAACATGTGTGTGCAGGTGTCCTTTTCATGTAATGACCTAATGACCTCTGTTCTTTTGGGTAGAAGCCTAGGAGTGAAATTGCTGGATTAAAAGGTAGATAGTTGTTTGAGAAATCTCCATACCACTTTCTATAGAGGGTGTACTAATTTACACTCCCACCAACAGTATAGAAGTGCTCCCTTTTCTCCAAAACTATACCATCATCTATTGTTTTTATTGTTTTTTGATTTTTCAATAATGGCCATTCTGACTGGTGTAAGATTGTATCTCATTGTGGTTTTAATTTGCATTTCCCTGATGATGAGTGAAGTTGAGCATTTTTTCATATGTTTGTTGGTAATTTGTATATCTTCTTTTGAGGGATGTCTATTCATGTCATTTGCTCAATTTTAATGGGGTTATTTGCTTTTGGCTTGCTGATTTGTTTGAATTCTTTGTATATTCTAGTCTTTTATCATATATATAGTTTGCGAATGTCTTCTCCCATTCTATTGGTTGCCTATTTGCTCTGTTGATTATTTATTTCGCTGTGCAGAAGCTTTTTAGTTTAATTAAGTTCCACCTGTTTACTTTTGCTTTAGTTGCATTTGCTTTTAGGATTTTTGTCAGAATGCAACACTGAGTATAAAGTTGACCTGCCCAAGTCTTTCCACCTGAGGGCAACTGACTCAGTTGGAGAAGGGGTAGAGATTGACAATGGTCTTCCCACTCCCAGCACACATGTGGGCCAGATTTCTTGGTCTGTCTTGGAAATGAAGAACTGACCAGTGTTTTGTGGTTAGAGCCCCACCAAAGCTTTTGCTACTAGAATCTTAGTTGGTTGATCTGAGCTGATGTACTTGACAGTGCTTGTTATCGTTGCTAAAATTTGAAAATATAGCTCCAGTTCAGCCCAACGATAGAGTGGTGATAGAACTAAATTGAACAGTACCCGGATTTAACTGAGGGAGAAATTTATCTCTGTGCATATGTAAATTAATTTATCCAAATGTCTAGTGAAAGAAGCCTCCTATCAAAGGATTTTATTGAAACTCAGAAAGTAGAAGCTTCTCCAACTCCAGAAGTCAGTAGGGAAAATAAATGAGGAAGGAAATGTGAGTAGAAAGCAGCAGTTGAGTAAGAGGTATCTTCCTCATGACACAACCTGAAAGTGCAGTTCCTATTGCATAAGAGACCAGGAAAGAAATATGATTAAGAATAAGTGAACATATTCACAAAAATGCATATATACATTTGTATATGACTGAGGCACTGATTGAGGCAGAGAATTCAGTATTTCTCTTGAACAGTCACAGTGCCCTGAGGCTCCTGTAGTGATGTGTGTTTATTGTATCATGGTGAAGTTAAATTTGGGGTTGAACCAACAGCTGGTTGTGTTTGTAGTCCCACAGATTTTTGGAAAAAGTAATGACGACTTCATCCCCACAGGGAGCTACGGAACAGGTAATGCACATGACAGGAAATCTTCTCTCCGTTACACAGCTCTTATGTGCTGAATGGAGACCTTCCTCATGGCCTGTTTGCCCAAGACATTATTTTGCGCAAGGTTCTAAAAATATCATCTAATAAATTCCTTTCTTTTTATAGATGGGGAAACCAAGATAGGACTGAGAGAAATATCTGATCCTCAGTTTTGTACCTGGATATGAAGATGGTTTATATGCAATCATTGTTATAAGATGTGAAAATGCTTAATAGCCAGAGCTATAATAGGCATGCCTATTCTCTCTCTATTAAAATAACTAGTTCTGTCTTGAAGTCTGTTCTTAGAATTTCCTCTCACTTCCTCTCAAGACACCTACTGCTACTGATATATTTAGGAGAAAGACAGTTTCTCATTGATCCTTGTATCACCTGAGATATGCAGTACAGTGAGCTATGTGGAGAAAATTATCATAAAATATTTATTGAATTCTTTTAGTCATAACCCCAAAGCAGTTTCTGATGAATACCAAGCCATCCTATATTGCAAAGAGTCTAAATAAAATATAAATGCTAACTTGTCTGTTTTATTAACAAAATCTTAAGTAACTAATTTGGTCTCAGGGTAAACTAAAGTAATCTTCAACCACAAAGGACAAGTAACTGGTGGCACTGAGGAGAGGTTTGAGCAGACTCTGAAGTCACTGCAGCTGCTTGCTCAGTCGGTCACTATTCCCAGGAAAATGAGTCCCTTATTTGTAGTTAAAGAAATGAATGGATCCTTCTCTGCTTATAGGCAATATCTGGAAAGTTCCCTAGCTTCCTTGTCTGACAATACCTCCCTGGTCCTGAATTTGTTCCAGCTAGCCTCAATCTTTATAACTGAGTAGTGCTGCTGAAAGAGTCCAAGAGCTGCCCAGGATTATTAGTTTTCATATAAGACTTGGGACACTAGAAATAGAAAGAGCAGCAAAGATGCTGTGTGAAGCCTCAGGAGGATGTGCTCCAAAGTCTATATAAGAAAGGAATGAAGAAGTTTTACTGTGATGCTAAATTCCTCCATTACTCTTCCTTTCTCTTCTTCTTCTTCTTCTTCTTCTTTTTTTGGAATTTCACACCTACTGTCAAACTAAACCAGACCAAACCAAACCAAACCAAACCAAACAAAACAAAAACAAAAGCAAAAACAAACAACCAAAAAACAAAAACAAAAGATGACATCAAATAGGATTTGCGTATTAAGCATGACAAATAATGGCAGTAGTTAGATGGAAGGATCAAAAAAAGAAAAGTTTTGCCTTTGAGTGACCAAGAGTTTCTTCTTATCATTTCCATGATTCAGAGACAAATAGGCACAGCCCATATTCTGATGTGTTTGTGCAGTAATTACCAGACAGTAACTTTCATTTTTTTCTTTCATTTCAGTTCCACAGATTTTTGGGAGATATTCTCCAAGTCCCAAGAACTCCATTCCCACAAGGAGCTATGGAACAGGTAAAGTGCCTGGTTACAAGTCCCTCCTTTCCTTCCTCTGGGTTCTTAAGTGTTGATTTCTGAGACTTTCCCATTATTGCCTGTATTATGGAAATGTTTTGCTCTAAGGGACCATAAAGACCTTTCAGTTCATGCTTTTTACATTATCAACAGAAAAACAGACTAGACTGAGTGGAATTTCTTCCTGGATTGAGAATGACTTATACTAATATAATTGTAAAGAAACCCATGTCTCACTACTTTATGACTCAATTCCAGGATTTACACCCTAAACTACTAATCTCATACTTTCTTTTCTTCAATCACTTCAGTTTGTCCCCAATACTGGGAGTTTTATCAAGGAAGATGTTTTTTCTTATCCAATTCTGAATCATCTTGGAACAAAAGCAAAGACTTCTGTGAAAGCAAGGAATCTACTTTGGCAATTGTCAATACACCTGAAAAACTGGTGAGGACACTGGAATGTACAACAAAGCGGCTCACCCTACACCAGCATCAGTGGGTGGGATGCTGGGCAATTAGGTGGAGTGAGGGTGGGATGGAGTGAAGATGGAGAGGTGGCTGGCTGAGGAGTTCAAGTTCCTTTTCTGAATCTGGAGTTAGAAGTCTCAGTAGCTATAGTACATTCCTTCATTTAATCTAAGCTACAGAAATACACACTCTGAGGTCTTTCCCATGAGGCAGAGCAGTTAGCTGGTGTCTTGGGAATGAGTCAAGACATTTAAAGTGCAGGGAAAAAACAAATGAGTTGATGTGTGTAAGCTTTGTGGAAAAACTAGCAGAATATTCATAAATGTGAGATGTCAATGTGTCACCCCAGTCTGCATAGTAAATAAAGACATAAATTAATAAAATTAATGATATGAAAAACAAAGAATCATGTCACAAAACTGGGTTTGAAGTTGATAATTAATGATAAAAATAGATAACACTATGCAAGAAGTGATGTTCTACTATCTTCTTTTACTTCATAGTCATCATGAGGATATACATACATATAAAATATTTATATTTTCTTTTGAAATTTTTTTAGAGATGGAGTCTTATTATGTGGCCCAGGTTAGTCTCAAACTCGTGGTCTCAAGTGAGCCTCCCATCTCAGCCTCCCCTGGGATTACAGGCGTGAGATACCTCTTGCAGCCAATTATCCATATTTTATAAATGAGGAAAATAGAAAATAGCAAAGCAATTTGACCAAGGTCATACACCTAAAAAGCAGAGCATAGAATGGAATTTTGATCTCTCTGACTCCAATATCCATACTCTACTCAATTCTAGACCATAATCTATTTCAGGTCATAGTTGCCTCTCCTTCCAATCTTAAGCATTTGCTGAGCGCTAGGCACTGTGACATTGTACTGTCTACACTATTCTTGTTTCTCTCCCCTCTATCCCTCTACTCCTCCTCTCAGAGGTCCTCCTGTGATTAAGAAGAATTTGTAAGAGGGTCTCCTCTCTGAATCTTGCTAATAGATAACCAACAAAAGCATAAGGACAAGTATCCAGATGGAAAGGGAAATGTCTTAAAGCAGAAAATCAGGAGCAAGGCAGCAGAGAGAAAAGAGGAAGGAGGAGAGAAGAAGGGAAGAGAGAAATACAACAGAAAGTTGATGATCTCTTTTTCTTTCCTCGCCCCTTAGTTTTGGCTCATTCCAAGTTGCATCCTTGGCAGTCACTCCCACTTATACTCCATACTAATCCCACAAAAAGCTCATCACACCAGTGCTTTGCTGATGACTCTCAAGTTTATATCTCCTGCTTAACCTTCTTCTCCAAACCAGACAGTATACCAAATTCAACTTTGATGTTTCAAAAGTTCTACAAACCCACCATGCCCAAAATGGAGTCAATTATATTTGAGCTCAACTGCTCCTCCTCTTGTATTTCAAATATTGGTGCATAGTCACATCACCAAGCATTGTAGGCTGGGCATTTTCTGGAATGTTATCTTCTCTCTTTCTCGCAAATCAGTTGCTAACCAAGTCCCGTCTTCTCTAACAAATACTTCATTTCCCAAGTAGATATCTTCAGAATTTTTGAAATTAATTTCCTTGTCTCCAGTTTTTCCCTCTTTCTAGCTATCCTTAGCAGAACCGACATCATAATATCTCTAGGGCTCTAAATTGTCTGTGCGTGCCATATTGAGCATCTTGTAGTTAGTTCTTTCTTCACCATACTTAGTATCTTGAAGTTCCTCAGATGTTCGAGCTGTAGAAGGATATTCTTTCTTCCAAAAAGTCCAAACCCTCCCCTCCCATTTATTTAACAGACAGGTAGCTATCTCCCATAATTCATCTCAAGCATCACCTCATCTATAGTTTTTCTAGTAAAGTCTTAAATTTATGCAGCATAATCATTTTGTCCTTTCTGCCTTTTCCAGATCTAGTACATTTTTTCTAGCACTTTACCTGGGTACTTCTCCTGACATCTGTCATTAAAACTGTGGTTTTTCATCATGATGGGATCACTGATTTTTTTAAATGGTGATGAAACATATGCATCTCTTCCCAGAAATGTTACAGAAGCACAATATATTGCATAAAATTCCAACAACTTCATACATCCCCTTGAAAACCATCCATGGCTTCCTGCATGAGAGTTAAGAGTTAAGGATCCTTGTTTTAGACCATGGGTCAGCAAACTTTTTCTTAAAAGGCCAGATAATATACAGTTTAAGCTTTTCAGATCATAAGTCTCTGTTAAAATTCCTCAACTCTGCTGTTGTAACTCAAAAGCAGTTATAAAAATATGTAAACAGATGGACATGGGTGCAGGCCAATAAAACCTTATTTATAGAAAAGGTTTCATTCAGTCTGGATTTGACCCACTGCCTGTAGTTTGCCAGCTCCTGTTTATTATTTGTCTTTGAGAAGAACGTATTTGTTTCCCTATCCTCAGTTAAATACAATGCCTGGCACATAATAGACATTCCAGGAAATGTTTAGTAAATAAATAAAGTTAGTAAGTAATTTAAAAATTAACAAAATAAGATATTTCAGGAAAAGGGAGCATCTAGAAAAGAAGAACTAAGGAAATAGCCATGGGATGACAAGTAAGACTTGTATATCAACTGACTTTGTGGATATGTACAGATACGTATGTGACAAGTACAAAAAGGACTTCTCGCTGGGGTGATTAATGATTCATTAATTTAACAGAGAAACGAAGATGTCTTTGACTACTATCAATCTAGCAAATATTCAGCAAACACTTGATAATTTCTCTTTGGCTTATCTGCTTTAGCAACACACTTTTAAATCTCCCCAATTTCCTTTGCTAAGTTTTCAAAGAACATAAACACATTTTTATTATCATTTGATTCAACCTTATTTGGAATATATAATTTTGGCAATAAAAACAATCCTATGTAGAGAGGCTGACACATTTTTAAAAATTGCATTGTTTTGTATCGTACAGTAGTCCTTTGCCTTCATTCTCACAGTGTGGTCCCTAGAGAGCAGCATAAGCATCATCTGGGCATGTGTTAGTTAAGTAAATTATTGGTCCCCTACATCAGACCTACTGAGCCAGAATCTCAGAAGTCTGTACTTTAACCAGACCTTGGGTGCTCCTGCTGTCCTGCCAACCTCGACAACTACTCTTCTAGGCTTAGTGGCAAGTGCCAGCCATAGCCAGTCCCAGGATCTCCCAATAGACTTTCCTATTCCCAGAATCAGGTACATTCTTGGGCACATTGGTTCAAGGGAGGCATCAGTAAAACACTCACTGTTGAACTGTTTATTTTTTGTTAATGTCTAGAAGTTTCTCCAGAACATAGCTGGTGCTGAAAAGTATTTTATTGGCTTAACATACCAGCGTGCAGAGAAAAAGTGGAGTTGGATCAACAACTCAGTGTTCAATGGCAAGTACGTGAGCATCCGCATTTTTCTGGGGATCTTGGTTTGCCTCAGGAGATCAATCCTGAGAGTCATAGGTTCATCCTGGAATAGCTCAAGGGCTGAGACTCGACTCTGTTCTGCTCTTATCCTTTCTTCACACTCATCTATTCCCTGAGATGCATTGTTTATAAACTTATTATAAAAAATATCAGACATTCCTGAGGAGAGAGAAGTGTATTCATATAACAAATTACAGTGTTCAAATTAAGATTCAAACAAATTCGCATGCCTAGCATTTGTTTGATATAGCTCACAAGTCTATTTTAACCCATGGATCACATTTATGATTAAATGCCTACAATTTTCCCCAGATGTGGCTTCTTTCTCTAAAGAAAGACTATTATAAGCAACTTGTCTATTCCTTAAAGCTATGAACTTTTAGGGCCCAAGAGCCATCTCCTGTGAATAACTCCATGGAGATAAGTATGGCAGGAGAATGTAATATTCCCAGTGTTGATATGAATATGTTGATTCAGACAGAGAGCAAGTCAGTTCCCCAGTCTCTAACTGGACTTCCCCACAAAGGGACAGACATGAATATTCATTCAGTGTCTAGAAAATGCCAGGTACTGTGTAAGTACTTTGCATGTGTTATTTCCTGCAATATTAATCAGGCTGCTGGCAAACATTTTTATTACTCCCCATGTCACAGGTAGTTGAATTGAGGACCAGAAAGGCTTAAAAATGTGTTGAATATCACAAAGCTAAGACGTAGCAAAGCCACCATTTGACTCCAAAGCTACCTGAGTCCAAAACTCATGCCCTTTCCTTGAGGCCAGGGCCTTTCTAGTCAGACTGAAAAAGATTGAATGGGAGAAAAAGAGGTAGGAGAGCCAAGAAATGGCTCCACCAACTTGCTTGTCCTAGCTGGGGTCTAGGAAAGCGTAAGCAATCTCTTTTGCCTTCTTTAGGTCCTCTTTCTGTGAACATACATAAAGCCCTCAAACATTACTTATGGGAGAAAAAGGGACACCCCCTGAGATGCCCCCAACCAAACCCCGGAGTGAGTTAGTCCGAGATTCTGAATCCATACACCCCACAGGACAGCAGACAAAAAAGGAGAATTTAGAGCTGGATGTGGAAGCTGGATTTGGAGACGGGGGTCTGAGTTAGAAATAAGGCTGCTCCCGAGGAGGACGTGTGGGTCCAGGCACTCCGGAATTAGGAGAACCCGGAAGGAAACCATGGGTCATAACCACGCTTTCTCTTCTCCTTTAGTGTTACCAATCAGAATCAGGATTTCAACTGTGTGACCATTGGTCTAACAAAGACGTTTGACGCTGCATCATGTGACATCAGCTACCGTAGGATCTGTGAGAAAAATGCCAAATGATCACATTTCTTTGGGATAGGAACAAATAGACTTATGAAGTGGCAAAAAGAGAATATTTGCAACTGGGACTGTTCCAGGAAGTACTGAACATCAAATTACTGTATCAGTCATCAACAGGTTACTGGCAGAGCTAATGTACCACACCCCTCCACAAATATACTTACACGCACCCGAGGCAAAAACCCCAGTCTGAGCCAGCATTTCCCTGTTTCTCACATTTCTTGTTAGAGTAGCACCTGCAGCTCTTTTTGAAATCCCACAGGGCATCTGGTCCATGATTCTTTAATCTGTCTGTCCACCAGTAGGTGTCCTTGCCGGTCTGGGAAAATGAGCTTCTGTATTTTGCTTTGGGGGTCTGGATGCTAGCCATCTCCAGAGGATAGGTTTAGTTTTATGGAGAAAGCTCAGTGGTGTAGGGATAAGGCAAGTGTCTGTAGAACTGAGTATTTTTGACAGATCAACAGGATTTAGCCTGTTTAACAGAGTTTGTTTTATTTTATCTCAGAGCACACGACCGTACTATCAAGGAGAAACTGCAGACTGAGTATGTGTGAACATTTTTGAGAAAGAAGCATGGCAAAAGAGGGATAAACTCAGTTTCTGTGACCTCATCTCTGTTCCCAAGAGAACCCCGGTCACGTGTCCCTCCACAAGTTGGAGAAACAGAGGCCCTCCTCAGTCTAAACTAAGTCCTTGACCTGTGGAGTACTCCTGGTGCTGAGCTTGGAGCAGAAGGAGTAATGTTTATGGGTGCGAAGACAGGTCAGGGCAGCACAGGAGTCTGCTTGGAGATCCCTCTGAATAAAACCAGACAGCTAAAGAACCCAAACAAACTAAATCTCTATCTTTCAACAAAACTCTGAAGAGACACAAAAGTAAAAAATGTTCTTGTACTGGTCTGAAACTCCATTATAGAATTAATAACTTCTTGGCAAACAAATTTGGGTGAACAGATTCCTTTTGCTTTGCAGATTTTGAGTATATGACCATATTTGTTCAGTATATTTTAATAACATGGAATCAGTTCTTGGGCCCCAAATTCCTCCCTTAATGTTCTAGAGAAAGCCTTCTACTGGGCAGCACAGTGATCCAGAGAAGCCTTGCACTGATTGGCATCACACTGACCCAGAACTGGTACCCTGACCTAGGAGCTGAAAAAGAAAAGGCTGCTCAGGGAAGCATAGTGGAGACAAGGAGTTAGATCATAGAAATAGAATACCACGGACAAATAGAATTAATGAGAGAGGAAATAGGGAGTTCATTTGGCCACACTGGAAGAAAGGATAGAAAGAGGTAGAAAAGTCTTGTGGCACCCTATTCTCCACACTCACAAGACATTAGGTACACACTCACCTTGGTACATGAGAAAAAGAAAAGAGATGCCTTGTGTATCTTGAGTAAAAAGGATTAAATCATAAAGGAAGACCATGTAAAACTAATGGAAATTATAATCACCTAAGTGCTTACCATTTGTGTCTAATAATGATGTTCCACAGTAATGATTGTATATATCATTATATGTGTGCCAAACTAATTTGTTGTAAATTAGGTTTCATAATTTTTGGTTCCTGAGCATGGCCACTCACAATTTTTAAAATTAGGTAGTATATTAGGTGCTAGAAGTTGCTAGAAGGAGGCTACCAGAAATAATTTTTGATTGAGGAGGGGCAGAAATTGGAGTTATTTTGGTCCCTCGTGAAGATACAGTTTCTCTGATGGCATTAGTAAAGTATATGCACCACAGTTGAGGAAAGGAGAAAGGCTGAGTTTATGGTGGGGAGAAGAACCCACAGATTTCTAGCCAAAATAAAGCCCCAGAATTCAGACAACAGAAAGGATTATAATTCTTATGCTTGATAAGAAAGACTGTTGTTGTTTCACTTTCTATTTTGTGACAGAATATTTGCAGACTTTAGACCAGGAAATGTTACATCTAGTGATTCCTCTAGTAGGCAACTCAAATTTCCCCCAAGATGAGGAGGTACTTCTGTGGGAATTATAAGAGAAGCCCAGTGGGCTGAGGTGAGGGTAGGGGTATGTAGGGTATATGTGAATCTTGGTTTAAGTTCATTGCTGGATCCTTGGAAAGGTAGATACATTTGATATTTATTAGACAGAAGTGATATTAGCAAAAAAGCAATGGAAATTTACAAAACCATTGGTTTGAGTTTTGACTTTGCTTTTATTGAGTCCCAAGGAGACAGAAGCATCTGGAAGTGAGCAAGACCCAAAATATTTTGCCAAAGACCATTAAGGCAAGTTTACAGCACTCCAACTAGATACTTTTTCACTGCAAGCCAGTGAAGTATGGGACTAAGGCTCCTCAGGATGCAGGAGAGATTCACACAGATTTCTAAAAGGGATTCATTATGGTTGAAGTAATGAAATATGAAGAATTAAACAGGTTCTTAAAATATAGTCAAGACAGCAGGAGAGTACAGACAACGAGGCATAAATTGTATTGTTGAATATGGAGATGTTATCATCTTCACATTTTATAAACCTCAGCAACCAAAGAAGAAATATATTTTAGTTATTGCTCATATAACCATACAACTTCCAAAAGACATATGATTTTTTTAAATTGAAGTTTCTGAAAAGTGAAATGGGACTCTTTTATGAGAAAATGATTTTTATTGGTTTTAAAATTAAAATATTGTGTACCTCAGTTGAAATGCAAGTTCACTAAATGTGAGAAGCTTTGCTTTTCACATGAATAAGACCCTACTTCAAATTATAGAAGCTTTTCAGAAACCACATTACTCTCATGATACTTCATTAATCTCCATCATATATGCCAAGCCTGACATATTTGACAGTGTAGACAATATGGCTTTCTCCATTTAGTTATTTATTTATTTTGAGACAAGTTTTCACTCACCCAGGCTGGAGTGCAGTGACACAATCAGCTGGGACTACAGGCATGCGCCACCGTTTTTTGTTTTTTGCTTTTAGTTTTGTAGAGACAAGATATTGCTATTCTTCTCAGGCTTGTCTCTTAACTTCTGGACTCAAGCAATCCTCCTGCCTCAACCTTCCAAAGTGCTAGGATTATAGATGTGAGTCACTGTATCTGACCATGGCTTGATCCTTTTGAATACACAGGTAAAGACTATTCTACAATACTCTAGATGTCTACACTCAATAAAACATTTGGCAAAACCCAAAAAGAAAAAAGATTCCTCTATGTATTTTAGTGGGAATAAACATTAGGAGAAGCACTTTGTAGTGGATTTGAAGGTGAAATCTACATTCAAGAAGTAGCTTGTTAATTCTCCAGGAGCTGAATGTACTCAAGTCACTTAATTTCTCAGAACTTCTGTACTCATTTATAATATAAGAATAGAAGACTGCTCAAGTCAGAGAAGTGTGCCTCAAAAATTATGTGTCCATACGACATGAAGATCAAACTCATACTTTCCATGACTACAAATGTGGGCCCAACCTGGGTCAGCCAACTCCTATCCAACCCTTAAACTCATGAACAAATCCACCTGAGATCAACAGAGCAACCAGCTGAGCCTACGCTTGATCTCCTGAAACATGAAGTGTGAAACTACAAGCTTACTGCTATATTCCACAGGAGTTCTGTGGTTGGTTCTTGAATAATAAAACTAACTGATGCAAATTCCTGACTGACCTTTCACCTTTTTACTTTATTGTCCTTTAGTGGTTTGTCTTTATTGTCCTTTAGTGGATTGTCCACATAGCAAACATATACTCTTGTTAAAACATTAGACTGAATCTGTCACTCTTCTTCAACACCCTGTGATGGTTTTCCAATTCACTCCAAGAAACAGCAAAAGTCTTTAGAAGACTTCCAAGGCTCTACTTGGTCTACATTCCAATTACTTCTGATTGCATTTGCTCCCCCTTTCTCCTTTGCACACTTACTTTGCTCTTTCTTCCCTAGGGGTCCCATTTGCTATTCCCTATGCTTGGAAAGCTCTTTAACAGATTTCCAAATATCTCAGTAGGTTTCCTCTCTCAAACTTTCTCTGACAGTCTTATTCAAAGCTTCAACATCCCCCCAAAGGATGTTCATTTTCATTCCTATTTCACTTTTCTTCACAATCTAAAAAAATCTATTTTAATAGCTTTATTGAAATATTATTTACATACTATGAAATTAACTCATTTAAAATGCACAATTCGATGGGTTTTTGGTATAACAACAGATATTTACAACCGTTATCTCAAAAACAAAGCCTGTACTAATCAATTATCACTATCCTATCCCTGTGTTTACCTCAGCTCTAAATAACCACTAGTCTACTCTTTAGACTGTCTCTACAAACAGTATCTCTAACATTTTTTTTTGTTTCATTGCTAAATTTCCCAAACTTAAGAAAGACATACACATATATACATGTCTTAAAAATGATAAAGTGACTGCATAATATTCCATTTTGTATAGGTACCACATTTTTTTTATCCAGTTCAGCTTCGATGGGCAACATGGTTGGTTCCATGTTTTTGCTATTGTGAAGAGAGCTGCAACAAACATATGTGTGCAGGTATCTTTTTTGTAGAATGATTTGAGTTCCTCCGGGTATATTCCCAATAGAGGAACTACTGGGTCATATGTAAAGTCAATTTCTAGTTCTTTCAGAAATTGCCACACTGTCTTCCAAAGAGGCTGAATTAGTTTGCATTCCCACCAATAATGTAGAAGCCCTCCTTTTTCTCCACATCCTCGTCAGTATCTGGTGTTTGTTTTATTAATGATGGCCATTCTTACAGGGGTTAGGTGGTATCTCAATGTGGTTTTGATTTGCATTTCTCTGATGATGAGTGAGACTGAGCACTTTTTCATGTGTCTGTTGGTTGCCCGTATATCTTCTTTTGAGAAGTGTCTATTCAGATCTTTTGCCTACTTTTTAAAGGGGCTGTTTTTTCCTTTCAGTGCGTTTGAGGTCCTCATAAAGAAGGACAAACATATGGACTTTGCAGCAACTTGGATGGATTTGGAGTCGATCATACTCAGTGATTTATCACAGAAACAAAGAACAGAGTTCCATAGGTTCTCACTCATAAACAAAACTTGAACAATTATAATGCTATAAGAAAGCGATTGACAGTCGTGGAAAACTGTCAGGGAGGGGGTGGGATTGGCAGTCGATGGAAACTGCTAGGGGAGGGAGAGGCATACCTCATCAACAAGGGTACCTACATGATCAATGTTTATATACCTAACCCTGAAATGTACCCCACATCTGTATAATAAAAATTAAAAAGCAACAACAAAAAAATTCCCTTTGCTGAATTAAAAAAATGATAAAATGAATTTCAAGTAACAACTAGTCACATTAAAAACCTTAACCATAAGTTAAAAGTCATTTGTTGCACACAGAGTATTGCATGAAAGTAATGATTATGATGCAATTCAAAGATCAAAAAAACCTCTTCAGATTATTCTAGAATGCATAAAAAATACTTTGCCATGTAAAATGCCTTAGGATGAGGCTAGTTCGTGAATAGCTGATAGCCGTGGTTTACCCCATCCTGAAGGGCCT